TGTAACTGTAGGAAAGGACTATATCCTTCAATCACATTCAATTTCTAATACAGGACCTATTAGTTAGGAGGTATAATAGGTTATAATGTGAAACACAAAATCATGCAAAAATGTGTCTTATACAAATTAGGGTCTTATTCTTCTCATTTGACATAAAGTCAAGGGATGCTATAAGAGCTTCAGAATGACATCAGGCACCAGGCAATGTCTTCCTCTGTTTTCACACATTCCTATTATGTGCTCTTGCCTCACAGTTATAAGATGGCTGCATTGCCTCCAGCATTATGACTGTGTTTCATGAAGAAGGAAGTGGCAGGGCAAAAGCTAATGAGGGCATGCCACTTGAATCTTTGCCCCTTCTTTTTTTAAGTATCTTATGAGATATCCTACCAAAAATATTCTGCTTAATATCATTGGTCATAATTGCATCACATTCCACCACTGTATGTTTGCAAATTTAAGAAAAGTTGTTTACATCGGCATACTGCTGCACCCAAACTATCATTCAGACACAATATGATGTAATAAGAAGCAAATAATGGAAATGCCCAGAGCACACTCAGTCCTCAGCAGATCTCAAGTAGCACACTGAGTTCTCCAAGAAAGGTGGCCCACTCTGCAGGGCCAAACTAATGATCCCTTTCTTTGAACATCAAGATCTAATTGTGCTGACAGCCTGCAGGCATACCCTGAGTTTTGCGGAACACCACAGAGGGTTGGGGGAGGAACTGCGCGTTCAGACCTTCATCCATGAAAAGAGCAGGGTAGAGATGTGGAGGTCGGACGAGCTTGGTTGACAGGTGACCAGTGTCACTACTGCTGATCTAAGTCAGTGGAAGAAATACGAAAGAAGAATATACTAAAGAGAGAGAGAAAGAGGGAGAGATCTGAAGATATATACAGGAAACTGGGTTCTGTAATTGAAGGTGTCCACTAAGAGTGTGACAGCCCAAAACATGTGGGCTGCATCTAAAGTGACGAAAGAGGAAACATCTCAATAATCTAAGACTACCTCAAGCTAGAAAAAGAAGAGCAAACTAAACCCAAAGCAAGGAGAAGAAAGGAAAGAATCAGGAAAAAAGATCAGGGGGAAAAAAAACCCAAAAGCTGGTTCTTAAAAAAAAAAACTATAAAATTGTTATATCTAATTTCAAAATTGATAAAAATAAAAAGAAGGGACTTCCAAATCACCAGTATCAGTAATGAAGCAATGGATAACATTATGATCCTATAGCCATTAAAAAAGATAATAAGGGAATACTACGAGAAACTTTTCACTCATAATTTACAACTTAGAAGAAGTAGAACAGTTTTTTGAAGACCAAAAGCTACTTCAACTCACCCTAGATGAAACAGACAAACTGAAGAGTTTTATAACCATTAAAGAAACTGAATTGGTAATTTAAAAGTTTTCAAGAAGAAATCTCCAGACCCAGAATGGTTTCAAAGGAGAATTCTACCAAATAATTTAGAAGATTTAATGCCAATATTACATGATTTATTACAAAAAGTAGAAGAGGAGGGAACATTTTCTAACTCATTTTATGATGTCAGCATTACCCAATACTAAAACCAGAGAAAGACATTACGGGAAAGGAAAAAACTACAGACCAATAGCTCTCATGAATTTATGTGTAAATATCTAAGCAAAATATTTGCAAGTAGAATCCAAAAATGTATGAAAATAATTATACACCAGGACCAGGAGGAATTCATTTCAGGTATGCAAAACTGGTTTAATATTCCAAAATCAGTCACTATAACCCCGTCATATCAATAGGGAAATAATAAAAATAATATGAGTGTACCAACTTGCATAAAAGGCAATTTATTTAAAATCCAACACCAATTCATGATAAAAATTCTCAGAAAGTTGGAAGAAAAGGGAATTGCATCAATTTGATAAAGGGCATCTACGAAAAAAATACATTATATTTAATGG